CAATTCACTTAAGAATGAAATAAATCTTAGTAAAATCTCCTTCCCGTTATTGAGGAAGTAACTAAGTTAAAGTTATTTTTATGTAAGTTTCCCTATGAGTTTTTCTCCCTGTGTTGACTGTTCTTAGTGTTGTTTCAATGCCACTTTGCTCGCTAAGTATGCTACAGACAATTTCTCCGCTTTTCCTGGACCTTGCTTTTCTTTTTGTTTTCTTTATTCTGCGCTCAACTTCTTTGTCTTTTGCGAGGGTATAATTTCACAAAATGGGGGACTATGGGGTCTATATAGAGATGGATGCTGCTAAGTGATGAAAAGAACGGGCTCTTATTGTTGTGAACTTACTCGGAAATAGTGGAGAGTCCGGAGATGGTTACTAAAACAAAAGTTGCTGAAAAATGTGCTCCCCCTCCCGTTTTCTCCTCAATATTTTGGCTTAAAAAGCGCCCGGGTTGCACACTTTTTTTTTGAGATCCTGAGTTGGCGAACATTTTTCGAAGTGAAAGTAAATATGAGAGGCAAACAGAAGCCGGAGAATAAATATATGTGCCGGGAGAATCAAGGTAAATATGCTCAATACAAGGCCCAATGCCGAAACTTGAGAACTTAACAAGTCGAGTTCAGTTGGAGGCAATATGAACGGTATGAACGGTCAATTAAAATCGAAATAAAGGCCATGTTGATTGAAAACAGGGATCGTATGCAGCCAGAGGCAATAATCAAATATATTATATTTAAAAGCCATAGTTAAAGAGAACAATATTTCCTGGAAATGAGAGCCTACAAAGTTAATTAATTTTGTTGTTGAGCTTTAATATGTATTGCATGATAAACATTTTTAATTGGCAAAGAAGAAGACAAATGCGCAGCAAGAATATTTTCAATGATATTTATTATGAAATAATAAAGATAAATACTAGATAAACACAATATATTTTCCAGCAATTACAGTTGCGAATCTGCTAGAGTGAATAAAAACTGAAGAACATCTCGACTGAATTGAACTGCGGGCCAAATCAGGGTAAACGCCAAAATTAAGTGATACTGAAGCGGAAATTAAGGGGAAATTAAGTGAACGTGAAGCGGGCATAAATCAAGCCGCAAAGCGATGGGCGGAAAATGGAAAAGCCCCCTTGAAACTTCATTTTTTCATTGGCTTTTCTTTTCGGTGCTTTGCGCAATTTCCCCGTTCGACGGCGGCGGTGTCTCTTGCTGGCTTTTTAATTGCCACTTACGCGTTCTGGCTTAGGCCGAAAGCCCCGACAAAAGCCCTTGATGCTGTGTCCCGAACACCGAGTCCTGTTTCTCCGCCTAATTTGTATTTTTTTTCTTTTTTGGCAAACGCTTTTTATCCCTTTGTCATTTCGGTTGGGCGGAGAGTGAAGCCTACGCACTGTAGGCTGAGGCGACATAAATTAAACTCAACTAATTGCGTATACGCCGCGTGTGCCTTAAGTGGGCTTTGCCGAGGACAGCGGCAAGGACATCGCCTCAGAGCTCAGTCCATCCACGTTGATCCTGCACCCCCGGCACCCGGCACTCGCTTTTTATTATCCCGAAATTTCCGCGTATCCTTTGGGGGATTTGTAGCCATGATTTAGTAGTGTGCAGTGTCATTAAATTTTAATTAAATGCCCCGAAACGCACATGAAACGGGAACAGGACACTGATGACGCCACACTCAGCCAGCCAGCAGCCTCGTCATTATTATTACCTCGCCGTTTCTCGGCAGCGGCATTATTACTATCATTATCATCATCATTGCCAACATATCCGCCTGAGCGCAGCGACATCAAATGGAATTCGTTTTGTCTCCGAGCCTGTAATAATTTATAACACGATGAACTTGTCCTCCTGCACACACACACACACACACACACACACACAGAGAGAGAAGCGAGCACCCGCAGACAGTCACGCATATGCAAATGAACTGTGTATGTGTGTGTGCGTACTGAAACAGAAATCCTTAAACAAGTTTTTAGGCTCCGGGTACTTTTTTATAATTTCGTTTCAACTCTGGAGCGTATTATAAGTTTCTGGGATTAAGAACACAGCATTTTTCAAAAACAGAAAAAACAGAAATATTGTTGGAGATGTAAATGTATGTTAATGAGGGCTGTTTTTCACATACAACTTGTTTGTAAGTCAGAAATATTTTATTTGGAGTGCAAAAGGGTCAACTTTATTTGTTGGACTTTCCTTGAAAGCCCACTCAACATCAATTAGGCGACCAACCCAGTCATTTTTATCCTTGTAGTTCACCATATAACACCATCATCGTGGTTGTCATCGTCATCGGCGAAGCATGATAATGATAACAATAACAAACAAGAGCAGCGACAACCCTGGTTCGCCGGCGTTCTTGGGTGGGTGGGTTGTGGGTGGCTGGTGTGATATAAAGATTGTTGCCATATTGCTATCATTTGCACACAATCAGCGTCAACGTCAACGGGATGCGAAATGAGGAGAAAAAAAGAAGATTGTAGCGCAGGGAAGTAGCAGCGGGGGTCAAAGGGCAATGGGTTGGCTGGGTTGCTGGGTTGCTGGGTTGGTAGGTAATGCATGCAGAAGGCCCCCAGAAAAACCCCCAGCCACCATCCACAAAAGGAAGCGCGGCATTCGACAGGATGAGTCGAGGATGATGAGGAGATTGCTCGTCGTCGTTCGACGATGTTGCCGACGACCAAATTGCAGATAAAGTATAAATAAATTTAAATAAATAGCGTAAAATCAAATTTCCTAGGCAGAAACAAGAAGGAAGCCTCCAAGTGGCGTGAAAATTTCCATGTGCTTGTCAGAAAATAAGAAAGAGGCACGCCGCTAAATGGCGGCTAAGGAGAATTGACTGGCAATAGAATCATTAGTAAACGAGTGAGCAGAATAGAAAATGCGGAATTTAAATTCAGAATGGAAGGGCTTTTCAATTTATAAAGAAATGTTTGATAACGTTTTCACGTATATTAAATTACCCAAACTTTATTTTACTTTACTTTATTGGAACTCCATCTGGTTTCAATTGGATACGTCTTTCAAACAATTAGTTACTCCAAGGGAATTCCCTTTGACACATTGCTTGACCACAGTTTGCGCGTGGTCTGTGACCGCAACCTTGACTACCGAACTGGCTGGAACCCCCACCCACCACCCACTTCCCCTTTCAGCCCAATCTCTTGTCCAACATTTGCCTATAATTGCCTATTAGTTTTCATTTGTTGATTCGGCTTTGCCTGCACGTGACGGTGGGTTTTGGTTTTGATTTTCGGTTTTGGTTTCGCTTTCGTTTTCGATATTGATATTCGTTTGGTTCTTAGTCTCTGGTATCGATTTGACTGTCTGTTCCATAAGCTAATGGTCAATGGGGAATATTTGTGGGGGTGTCTGAGCCTTCAACGGGGTCACAGTTTGGAACAAATGAACAAAATCGGCAAAAGGCCAACCAACACATGCGTTTGTCGTTAAACCAAAACTACGCTCTCTTCAAGTATAATATAATATTTTCTCAGCTTCTGAAATTCTTTAAATATTTGTTGACATTACGCGTTTGCGTCTCTGAAATCCATTGCACTTTCTAATGCTTTCTAATGCCAGCTTTTGGCCAGAAAGCCAGAGAGCGTTGGCCAAATGTAAGCATTAATATTTGGCTTGCCCGGAATTTCGTTTTATGTCGGTCAAGCCCTCGTTGCTCCCCATTTTCGAGCTCATTCATTTCAATTTCGTTTCAATTCCTTCATGACGGCCATGCTGAATTCTTTTTTTTGTTTGCGGGTTCGTTCAACTTGGCGACGACAGCGCCGCAAATACTTTATGGTGGCATTTGCATTTTTAAGGGGGCAATATTTTGGGGCCACTTCGGTCCCCTCTCTGTCCGGCATTAAATTCTGGAGGAAGGCGAGCAAAATTCGAGAGTGATTGGGTAAAGTGCATTACTCGGAAATCGGAATCGAAAGCGCGCATCATTATTTATCCACCGCAAATTGGCTGAGTGAAGATGAAAGCGAGCTGCCAAAAAATACGAAAAATAATTATTTGTGACGGGTGGCAAACATGGCAAAGCTCACTGAAAGAAATGTTAAAATTTTATGTGATTTCAAATGATTTCAAAATTAGTTATATCCATGGAAATTTTTTATTTTGTGTTTAAAGACTTTTGTTGTTCAAATGAATTTTGATTTATCCATTCCACTTATGTATGCCAAATTCTTTTGGTGAACTTAAAAGCAAATAAGCAGAAAAATCGGGCAAGGCCTCGAAGAGATTCCCTTGGCAGCAGTATTTTCACACCCGCCGCCCCACAATTTTCCCCATCCCCTTTTCCTCTTTCCCCCACAAGTTTCCCCCTCCCCTTTTCGCCCTAAGTACTGGCAAATTTTTCATTTCTGTCTGCCTTTTGTCTGTTTCTGCTGCACTTTGTTGCTTGCGGGCCTTTGTTATGTGTTAGTTGGCAACTGATTAATTGCCTCGCCGCCCAGTGCCCCTGCCACGCCCCTCTTGACCCTGCCCCCGATTTGGTTTCGGGCCGGGAAGAGTGCCAGCTCCGCATTATGCGTTTTGCTCAATAATTTAATTCGCTAAAAATAGTTGGGCGGGCGAAACTCGTGCCGTTGAAAATGATGCCGCCTCTAATTGGCCTGGGGAAAAGTGGAAAAATGAAAATGCGCAAAGCGGGAAAATGTTTGCGGTGGCAATCACAGCACGTTTGCCATTAAAATTGAACCATTTGTGATTTAACCTGTTGGTCTTTCGGCCATAAATGTTTAATTCGTGGCAACGACGGCACTTAGTGAATGCATTTCTTTAGTTCCGCTGAACAGGCTTAAAAAACAAACAGTTTGCTGATGGTAAAAAAAAAAAACCAATTGAAATAAATAAATGAATCGAGAACTACAAAGAAGGATTAAATAGCAGATTTCTTTTTTGCAGGGAAAAGAGTTGTTGTTTGGATTTTCATTTCGAATTTTATTCATGTCTTTGGGCTTACGAGCTATCACAATATTGGCTATACAGAATGGCATATCTGATTTATATATCTTATATATCTATATATCTTGGTTGGTTGGACGACTGGTTACACCTTCACCAGTCGCTCGCTGCGCTGGGCGAAGTGGAAGCCGCCGTAGTACTCCTCCAGGTCGCAGAGGTCCCGCTTCAGCTGGGCGTCGACCTTGGCCTGGGCGGCCTTCTGCCGGGCGGAGGGGCGGCGCACGAGGGCGTGGCTGCGCAGGCTGAGCCGGCGGCGGACATTCTGGCCGCGCACCATGTCGTAGAGCGGCGACTCCGGCAGCTGGGACTCCTCCTCCTGCGGCAGGAGGCACCGGCGGGCGTCCGTGTGGGAGGGGAAGCCGCGGGGCGTGGTCTGTCCGGCGATCGCCTCCGAGATGTCGTGGAGCCGCTCCTGCCGCTGGGCCAAATGCTCGAAGCTGCACTTCCACTGGGCGTAGCGGCGGTCGGCCAGGGTTGCCATGGAGCACTTTTTTGTTGGGCGGCGTCAGCAGGGTGCCGCAGGATCCGAAGGACGAGCAGCGCGGCATGGGTCGCAGGATCTGGCGGGAGCGCTTGCTCAGGCGCTTCTGCTTCCTGGCCGAAATGTTCAGCTTGCGGAGCAGGATCCTTTGCATCTTGGCTACGAAGCCAGGAAGGGAGGCACAGAAGAGGCCAGGACTTGCAGGACTGGTGGAGTCCTCGCTGCTCTTCACCTTTTCGGTCGACTGAGAGCTGCCCATCTCTTCGAAGTTTCGGTTTTACAAAAAATGTGAAAAGTGTAAAGAATCTTATGGTGAATTGGGCACACTTTGAAAGGCCGGTGTGAAGAATCTTAAGGTGAATTGGGCACACTTTGTACGCTTGCTAAGGTCACTCTTCGCAATACTTCTTCTTCTTTTAGGTAATTATTCTGTAATGCGGTGTTAACGGTGTAGCTGCTGTTGGACAACTGATGCTGATTGCCTCCGGGCGGCAGTTATATATACCCAAACCATCACAGGTACCTGGGATCCCTATTAGGGATCGGGTCTTATTCGCTACCCGCGCTACCCACCCATAAAATCCCCTCCCTAAACCCTGACCATAATCCCCTTGTTTGCATAGTTTTATGGGACAACATTTGGCCACGGCTTCGGGGTTTTGCAAGAGTCGCGGATTTTTTTATTGCCCCTGCAATCCTTGCACGTGCAAGGGGGTTTAGCTTGGGCTTGGGCTTGGGTTAAGGGTCAAAATGCTGCCTGCCCGCAACGGCCATTTAATGGCCTGTCATTTGCTGCCGCCTGCTGCTTACAGGCCAGGATGCCAAGGATGGCCAGCATCAGGATGGCCGCCATCCTCCTCGCTGAACGGAGGTTGGACGAGCAAATGGGTGGCTGCAGTTCCGACGGACGAGGAGCCACTTAAGACTCGGCTTTCAACGCAGGGCTAAATTCCTAATGAATTGCAGCGCAGACATAAACGAGACACGAAGCACTGGAAAAATAAAATGATATATAAAATTATATGAACTAATGTGATGTATAGCAGACAAACGAAAAACATTTATAAAGAATCCTTTGACTTGCCAAAGGAGCTAGATGGTTCTGATTTCCCAACATGATTAGGAATTTATTGGAATACGCATTAATTGCTTGCATTTAGGAACGTAGTTTCTCTCTGTGCAGAAAGAATGGGGGCAGGTTCAAGGCTCGGGGTCCATGGCAAGGCATCCTGGCAGAACGCTCGCTTTGTGTGTCAATCAGCCTTTGCATGTCAGCAGAGCCTTCATCAATTCTCCCTCTGTTCTTATCTTTGTGTGTGTGTGTGCGTGTGTGTGCGTGTTTCTGCCAGTGTATAAGTAATTGGGTGGGTAAGGACATAAGCCGCTTTGCCTTCATAATAAGTGGACATATGTACAGTGGGCACTGCGGACAAAGCTCTTCATTCTAATTGATGATGCACGGGGCAAAAAAGGAAAACCGTTGGAGATCCAACCTAACCCAAAGGAAGAAGTCACGAAGTTGTCTGAAATGGTCTGTTTAATGCAGGTTTTCTTTCCCTGGTGGTCAGTGTATTTACAAAACTGAACTTGGATGAAAGCTGTGCATTAAATCCTCTTTCGAGAAGCCTGCTTAGTAGTTAGTATTTCCCATTAATTGGGTTTGTGCTGGCTACCCCTTTGCCCCTGAATTCCCGCTTAGCCTCCACTTAGTTGCAGCTTTCGATACATCTCCTAATTGTATTTAAGTGGAAAGTGTTCGCAGTTTTCCACTGGAAAATACGAGGACGAAGGTCAAAGTGTCTTTATTTTCCCTTTTCCGTTCTTTTGAAAACAAAATGAATTGCCAGCCGAAGCAAAATAAATAGAGACGTTTTTAAAAGGTTTTAACCAATATTAAATGCTGCGAATGTTCAATAAAAATGTGATATTTTGTATACAGATTCTTAAAGAAAATGTTTACTGCCACTTCGCAAATAGATGTTATTATTAATTATTATGAATTAAAAGTGCATTCAAAGGCTGGCTAATATGTAAATCAGTTCCTTGTGCCGCAGAGAGCATTTCAATGTCAGAGGCAGTTAGAATTGAAACCGACGAGGTCAGGGGCTTTTGGGGCTCCCTTTCAGTCGAATTGCAGGGAACAACGGTATGGGGGAACCATCTGGTGGAGCTCCTCTGTCCTCTGTAGAGAACTCCGCTTAATTGCAGCCATTTGTTAAGTGCCGAATGAAGAGGAAAACACATTTTTACTGCAGCCAACCCATTTGTATCTTCGGCTGCAAATTTATTTGCACACTTGAATAACTGAAGCCGCAGTTCGTTTAATTGCGCGCTTTGTGTTTGTGGCTGGCGATTAATTAAATTACGCACTTTTAAATATTTTATTGATTATTGAAGTTTTCAGTGTCAGTGTCAAAGACCAGTGACAAACTGAATTGATATTTTTCAATTAAAACGAGCCATCACAGTTTTCCCCACTCGGGCTATCCACGGCTCACGCAATTCAATTCAATTCTTACCTGGCCGCATTTTGAAAAGGCTTTTACGACCTGACCAACACGTCTGCCTATCATAAAAAGAGACAAAATACAAAAAAAAATAAGTAAATGGAAAAAATGGCAAATGGCGTTAAAATCGTTTTTTTATTTAACCCTTTTCAGGGGCATAAAAAATGCATCTGGGAATATGCGTATTCCCCTAACCCTTTCCGTTCCGTTTGCCCTCGTTCTTTTTTGCCCGACGTGTGTATTCCCCATATGCAAATCAACCCGTTCCCTTTCTCTTTGGCACTGCACATTCCAAAGGACAAAGGCGTTTTGTCCTGCAAACATTTTCCACGAGTGTCACGACGACGCGCGGAGGTGTCATCGAATTCCCCGGGGAAGGAGGAAAATACGTTTGCCGAGGGCCGGGCCAAATAGGAAATGCCAATAAAGGCGGCTCCCCGAGCTGACAAGGCGAATCTCGCCAAAGTTTGGCAATCGAAATTAAGATAAAGCAACGCGTATCGAACTTGAACTTTCTCCTGCTGAAGGTGTTTTTCCTTGAATAAATAAATTACAAATTTTGAACCATTTACATATTTAATAATGTTTAAAGGTGGCAAATGTTTGTCTTGTTTAATCTACTTGCAAACGAAGAAGCAAACCTCTCTGAATTGACTTATCTGGATGCCATTTGGAAGAACTCTCCCCAATTTATTCAGTGTCCCCCAACTTGGCTCCCCAACAGACCACAAAATCAATCTTATTCGATCACCCCGGCCACCTAGTAGATTAGAAAGTTTACACAAGCCGAGTGTAAGCCAAAGTTAATAACACTTATACACTCAATCACACACTCTCTCCAAACACCATCGCCTCGTCCAGTTAACTTTGTCTTCTGTAATTTAGTGGGCCACAGAAAACCATTTGGGATGACCACAAATCTCGGCTGAGCGAAACGCGGAAGGGCACAAAAAAAAGTATAGAGTGAAAAGGATAAGGGCAAGGACATTGTGCGTGAGGGTTAAGGACAAATCAGGCATCAATGGCAATCAATCAATTTGCGGGCAAACAAACAAATTGACCAAAAAGAATGCGAGGCAACCCAAACACACAGTCACTGACAAAAGTTAACAGCATCTAATGTGATTTTGACACACTCCCCGCACGAAAGTTAACGACGACCACTTTTTGACAGTCTTTTGTTTACAGTTTCCCAACCGATATTATCTGAAATCCCCTTCCATCTGCTTTTCTATCTGAATACCCAGTAATTCATTCGGTTTACGGTTTAGTATGGTAAGACTAAAAAATATATATATTTTTTAAGATATAGAAAATATTTTCTTTCCGTTCGTGGTTTCCCTTTATTATCCAAAAAGCTTTCTTCGATAAACTATATTTATTTCAATATTTAATAGGTATTATCTTGTTCGCCTCGCCGATCCCAATTCTTTTCATAATTTAGTTTGTTTAAGCAAAGAAAAAATGGGGAAACGAGAAATGTTTTTGTTTGTTTAACTTGGTTTTCAATTTCGATGGTGGCAACCCTGCTGCCAGCTTCAATCAGGGGAACTATCCATCAGCGAACGATGGCCGTGTCCATTGGCCCCCATCCCCTTGGTTCTCCAGTGGAGTTTCGATGCTGGCACGCATCAAATTGCTGCTCCTGTTCCAAATCCTCCCTTGATTTTCTCTTTCAAAACACACATGATGAAAATCAATAAAAAGAACAGCTCTGTTTGGTTGGTCGAATAGGGACTCACCCTTTTTAATATGTTTCAGGGTATATATTCAGCTCAAATGTAGGCAATGAAAAATGTAAAACCATTTAGTTGGGAGGAACATGTGAATTTTTCCATTACATATGTACTTATGGGCACTCGACAAACAAGGATCTTTAATCCCAATGAATTTCACGAAATCTGATAAATAATAATACGCTTAATTAAGTAATATTTTCGAATGCAATAAATTAAGGAGTGATAATCAACTTTCTATGAATTACTAAAATTTGTAGTATAGATATTCATTTGTAGTATAGATAGGACATCCAAGGTCCTTAACTAAGACTACCCCCAATAGAGAAGGGTATGCTGGAACAAAAAGAGGGGCTCTGAATGTGACAGTCTCACCGAATGGGACGGTCCATAAATTCATCAGCGTCTCTAAATGGCTTAAGTGTGGCTTAGATGGCCGCAGCTGCTGGATGGTTGGATTGCTGGCTGGATGGCATTAAAACCGCAAGATGTCCTAATCCCGCCGATGGATTTGCAAGGGCTTAACCACGCCCACCGCCCCTCTCCACCTCCCACCTCCCCGCGTCGATGGAATCTCTAATCTGGCCACTTGATCTCCGTACGCACTATATTCTATATCTTAGGTATGCGTACACATAGCATACGAGTATCTGCGCAGATCCGCGGTAATCTTCGGCCAAATTTCACACCGCAAAGCACGCGACTTGCGGGGGGAGGGGTAAGTGGTAAGGATTCGCCGATTAGGCAAATCTTCCCTCCGGATTGCGATTCCATGGATTCAATAGACTCAATAGACTCAATGGATTCAATGGACTAGTGACATGCAACGCGAGCAATCCTCAATTGTGGCAGATTGTAATTAGAGCGGACTCGCTGTTCTCAACGGCTTACCGAGGGCCTTAGGATCCCAAATCTGGGCCATCGGATCGGCCAAAGGACCTTCCAAAGGACCTTCCTTCCAACCACTTGAGTTTGCTCCTGTTCAGCCTCGCGCCTTTGTTTTTTCCGGACCACTTTGCTTTGTCCGCCACTCGAGGCTCAAGTGTCGCGTTGGAGTCAGCCAAACACTTGCGGCTGTCAAACGGCACCAAAGTCCTCTGGCTTCCTCGGCACCTCGTCCTCGGCCGCGTCCTTATCCTTATCCTTTTCCTAGGACACACGGCGAGAAAATACCACCGCAGTCGCTTAAGAAACTCTTGGGATTCGTGAAACTTTCAGCTGAAAACTGTTAATAGTGTGCTTATAATATAATAGCTTATACGCATTCGAAAAGAAACGCTCTTTAATTTATCATCCTTTATTGGCTCACTGACCTGACAAAACTTCTTTGCAGAAAGTTGCTCGGGAAAATGTTGTTTATACTTGGAAAATACTTTGCAGATATGGAGCTAATAGTGCCTTGTTTTTCTTGGTGTGCTGGTCGAGCGGCCTTTGAATTATGTATGCGGCTTGTCCGGCCCTGAATAGTTTGATTTAACCGGGGCTATTTTGCGCTTTTTCCCACTTGCTTGCCTGCTAACAGTTTGACACTTTAAAGTTTGTCCCGAGAGTTGGGAAGTTCGGGAGGGGAATCGGCAGGAATTGTGCCAGTTTGCAGGGTCAATGTCAGCTTGCATATTTCATGGGCTGACTTCGAGGGGGACTAGGGTTAGGTCAGGTTGGATTGGATCCGATTTAATGTCTGGAAAAGGATCCCGGAAGTGACTGGCAAATAACCGGCTTTAAACGGCCGCTCCATAATATTTATAAATACGGAGTTTTAATTTCTTTCTGTCTTTACAATTTACTAAACTTTTAGCTGGCAGTGCTAAGTCATAATATACTTCATAGCTGGGCGAATATAATACCTCTTCCAATTTTCCACACATTAGAACGTCGCTCCATCTTTATTTGATTTCTTTGCAGTTTCTTTGCGCATAAATTCCCTATAAAATAGCGCCATTTACTATTTATTATTCCGCCAGATGGACGGAGCGAAGGAAATGGGTCGAGAGGGAGAGCCCCTGGGGAAAGGTTTTCCCATTTTTTTTTTGGCTCCGCTTGTTCTTTATGGCAGCCAAGAGGCCAAACAGAAAAAAACTTAATAATTCTACATCATTTTTATGTGCTGCTCATGAAAGTCAGGAAATGAAAAAGAACATTTCTGGCTCTTGAACGCGGCTTTAATGTTTAACCCTGCCCTTTGCCTTTGCCTTCGACCAGCTCGATTTTCCGTCGTCCTGGGAAAAAGTTTCGGGGAGTGGGGAAAAGTTTCGCAACAGTCAACACGGCACTTGTTGGCCCACTATTTTCACCTCGCAATTAAGTGCAACACTGCGGCGCTTCTGTCTTCCGTCTCTTTCCTTTGCCACTCCCACCCCACTCCTTGGGTCGCCGAGGTTGAAGTGCAGTCTGGTGGGGGTCGCAGTCATTGATTGATTGAATGATGGACTGATTGCTGGAACAATTGAGAGTCCGCACCAATTATGGCAACTCACCGATGCAAACTAAACAACTTGGGCCACACACAGAGCACCGAGCAGTCTGTCTCTTTCGTCCGCCCCGCTGCGCAGTGGTGCCATCTCCCTCTTTTGCCAATGGTCCAAGGAGCGGGAAAAATGTCAGCGAAACGCGGGGACTTCAGGTGCGACGAAGGGGGAAGGGGGAAGGGGGAAGGGGAGCACTTAAGTGGCCACCCGGACACTTGACGAGCGACTAAAATCGATACTGCCAACCGATACCCTGTAAGCGAGGCGAGGTAATCAGATTTCGAGCTCTAGTTGCTAGATAAAAGGAGGGAAAAAATATAATTTATGTCCTTTAAAAAAGTAGAGTCCTCTGGAACCCCTTTAACAATTAGTTGATTAATTGTTTAATATTTTATTCATTGTTTGCAATGGCTTGTTAAAGGCGGCCGTGCACACATTAAATTCCCAGCAACATACAGCGAAATGAATCAATTTTCCCGCCGTCCTGCCACACTAATTAAATATGCAAACATTCAAATAGAGCCAGCGCCGCAATCCACAATCCACAATCCATATTCCATATTTTTGCTTATCTCTGGCTTCGATTCGTTTTTCCATTTCCATTTCGATTGGCTTTTGCTGGGCTGCACTAATTAATGCACATTTATCCGCGTAATTACGCGCAGCAGGCTACTAATTCTTTCCCGGGTTTTGAATGGGGAATGAGGCCTCAATCCGCCGGCTTTCTGCCATCCTGCGGACAGCCTCTTTGTTTGGTTTGGTTTTGTGGTGGCCGTTGAATTTCGAATTTCCAAAGCCCAATTAAAACATTTGTGGCAATCAGTTAATGGCCTGGTCGAAAACGGAGAGGGGGTTGCATTTGAGGAGAATATTTTGCGGACTCTGGCGATCTATTAGCAACCACGTTTCTTCTTTTTGAAAACCATGAGTTCTTTTTTTGTATTAAAATCTTTCCTGGCTGGAAAAATTGCCTAATTAAAGTAAAATCATTACTTGGCGAGAACGTTTTTCGGTTCACAAGGCAATTCCCAACACTGGCGACCTTTGACCCGCAGCTAATTACAAAAATTGAAAAGGCAATAGTTCGATTGTTTGTACAATATAATTACGATCATAATTTGATTATCCAACCATGTACACATCGTTGGTTGTCCTCTCCTTAACTCTAAGTTGTATGAAATACAGTGCAAAAAAAAAGGGTTTAGTATTGTTAAACCGTACACACGATTGACCATTGCTGGGCAATGGAATCGCTGAGGGTGGAATGATTGTTCGATTGCCCAACTGTTTGACAGCTGGCACACCTGTTGCCAGTGCTTGCGGGGATTACAATTCCCGGGCCACTTCGAACCAGGCGGAGTCGGCGGGATTGGGTTCGGGACTCTCACAGGTCCGTGGATATGGTGTGCGTGTGCCCGGCCAGCAGCTGGTAGGTGGTGTACAGCGGCTCCTCCAGCGGCTGCTCCTCCTCCTCCTCCGCGCAGTCCACCTTGAACCGCTTGGCCGCGCTCTCCATCTCCTCGAGATCGCTGAAGCCCGGGAAGCCGGTGGTGGGGCAGAAGTGGCCGGCGATCGCCTCCGGGATGTGGGTCACGTTGTGCAGCATGTGCGCGGGCGTCGACTGGAGGTAGTTGCGCCACTTCTGGTAGGAGGAGGCCGGCATCTGACCGCCGGCTCTCCGCTGGCTGATCGGCGAGGAGGTCTTGGGCATGATGCACTGCGTCCGCTGCATCATGTACATCTCCCACTGCAGGTTGCCCGCCGTCTGGTCGGACTGCACGGAGTGGCGGGACTGCTCGCTCCTGCTCATGTCCTGGGTGCGCATCAGGACCTCCTGCTCCTGCTCCTTCTGCATCTCCATCTCCTCGTCGAACTCCTGGCGACTCTTGCGCGGCGAGGAGTCGGCACTGCTGCAGGTGTAGTAGCCGCAGGACCTCTCCAGTTGCGGCTGTTCGGCGAAGTCGTCGCAGATCGGCTGGCTGGAGCGGCTCCAGATGCTGCGACTGGAGTTCTTCGAGGAGTTGCAAGCGGAGGAGGAGGAGGAGCTGCTGCCCACTCCGCTGCTGTTCCGGCTGCTGTACAAGCGCTTCAGGGAGCGTCTATCGGATGAGGATCCTCCGGCGGCCACGTAGATGCTGCTGTTCAGGCTCAGCTCCTTGAGCTTCAAGCTGCTCGCACAACAACCCATGGTTCTCTTTTGGTTTTTGGTTTTCGTAATGTGAATTATGGAGTGGAATGCTCTTCGGCTGACGGTTCGTCGTCGACTGTTTGGTGTGGTCATAAACCCGCGGGCTTAAATACGGCCAGCAGGTAGCTCCTGTGAGTTGGCCAGCAGTTCCAGGAACGCGCATCAGCTACCTGATTACTCGTATTCCTAGCGGCCTAATCCGCGAGCGGGATTTCATGAAAACACGCCGTGCGTTTATGGCCCGGCAATTTGGCCAAAAACACGAGGCGGTGGGAGTACCTGCGATCCTGCGATTCTACGATCCTGCGAGCAGGACGACCTTGATTCGAGCAGCACTTTCTTTCTGGCCAACGAGTTAAGGACGATCTCTGAGCTGCCAGAGCTGCCTGCTCCCTACTCCAAGGTATTCTATGCTTGCAATGCTTTCCCGGCCACAACCACAACCCTTTTCGTTGGCAACCATCTATAAAGCAACCATCGTAGAGCCATGATTTATGGAGGAAGACGCATCGCTGATGTACCACCGACTCTCGGGCATTCGTTGGCTGGCCTTGGGCCATTGTTTTTGGCCAGATCCGACGGCCCTACCTTGGTCAATTGTTGTGTAAACGCCGTGGCGCAGTCCTCGGAACGCCGTTGACGCCGGCCACAAGTCTCGAATCAGCGGGACAGGAAGAGGACCTTTTCGTCCCGAATCAAAAAGAATTCAGCCAAACCACGCAGCTGCACCGACTGCGATCTATTTCGCACGAAACTCCTCAATGGAACAACTCTCCCATTCTTGGATGGCCATCCACCTCAAGGCCAGGTGAAACCGAAACCCAAACAGAAACAGAAACTGAAACAGAAACCCACATTGAAATCGAAATCGAGAGCATCCAGATGCTAATGAAAAGCGACATTGGGAAAATGGAGAGTGCAAATGGAAATTGGCAAATGATTTCGCGCTTGATTTGCACTCAATGAGGCTGTGAGGCGATGGCCATCGCAGTTGCATTCCAAATGGGGCACTAATGCTGATGAAATGTGTATGACAAGTGCAACCGAGAATGTATCTTCGCACCTCATTGAAAAATCCTACCAGTCGTCACTAGATTTGAATACCATAAAGAAGTTGCTTTGAGGGTTTAACAACTTTTGAAGGAACATCGTATGGATTCCTCTGTACTCTTTGGTTGCTATTTACAAATACCTATGTACCTATATACCTATATATACTTCCTATATCTACTTGCTTTTGGCTTGGCATGCATAAAATCATGTATAGTATGTATGATTAGAATTATTTATATTTTTTTCCGGGGACTTAGCCCTCCCATTTGCCCACCCAACTTCGAGTCAGAGTTGTACCCAGATAGCATATCTGCTTTTTGAACTCGGCCCCTATAAATTATCCCGAAACGGAGGGCAACTGCAGTGGCACGTGATATGTGCCATTTGTGGCATGAGTTCTGGGTTCTCCTTTCGGCTAACTTGGCTTTTGTTCCCGACCAACTGGCCAACTGGCAAACTGGCAAGCTGGCCAACCTCAGGCCTCATTTGACTATCGCACATTTCTTGTTTGCTGTTTCGGTTGCTTGTTGCATTTTCACACGCAATTGACGAAATTCCCGCATTTTTCGGCTGGGAAAACGCGCGCCGGAATTTCCACGCTGCTTTCCCTTGTTTTCCTTCACGGAGTTTCCCCTGCCGTTCCGAACCGTTTGCTCTCGCTCTCGCTCGGCTTCCCTAGCGAATTTCCATCCGTAACCGTATCTGCATCCAAAATCTGCATCCGCATCCGCATTCGCATCCGCATTTGCATCCAGTCGGCAGTCACGTAACTCCGGCATTTGTTGGCTGCACGTGACGGGTCTCCGTTTCAGGGTCCGACGAGCAAACATGGCGGATGCGGATGCGGAAGCGGAAGTCGAGGAGCTCCAAGTGACCCTGGGACTCTACTGAGAGGAAATTCTCCTGAAAGGAATTCCAGGGAGCAAGCGTTGCTACACCACCCTAAGATTTCAATTCAAGTGAATTGGTTTTTGAAAGCCTATAAACACAAATCACAACCAAAAAGATGAAGTGAAATGTAATGCTTAGGTATTTCAATAAGTTATTTGTAACTTCAGTCTCCTGCAACATCTTCCCCCATCTATAATTGAATTGTCAGACTGATGGCCATGATGCTGTTCGAGTGTAGGCCTTGTGGCCACTCCCATCCCTTGGAGTCAGTCGAGTGTGCAAATGACTTCCAAAGGACAGGTTCAGTAGCAAGGAAATGTATCCTTCGATCGAGTGGAAGTGCGAGTCTGACGAGTGGAGAGGCAAACTAGCATCGAGCACGTATGAGGAATGACCCTCGACAATTTGGCTAAGTAAGATGCAAAGCTATCTCAGGACTTCCTCGTTGCTTTGCATACGAAATTTACTCAAGTAACTTGCACCACTTACCACTACTCGTGATGTGTTTTCTTAGGGGCTGCACTCCCTGTGCAAACATGCTCCTTACAAAGTTCCATGCCACGGCATCTTCTTGGGGCGAGAACCACAAGTGTAATGCTGGCAGCAACTCACACATTTCACCTTGATTAAATAACAAAACTTGAGCAAACTTTGGGGCACTTCGGTTCTTAAATAACCATCGAGCCGGGAGGACTTTTCTTATGCAACGAAGGGCACCAATCGAATATGCAGTGTGCCAACCTTAGCGTCTTATTGGGGATTCCAGACTTGCAACATTGTGATTGTGGCAGGAATCAAAGCAAATTGTTGGGGCAATCCAGAGCCGAAAGTCCAGTGAAATCCAGTTCGGTCGAGTCCAGCTGACTGGCCATCAAGTTCGATGGCTGAATGGCTGCCTGGCTGCATGGATGCATGGATGCATGGCTGATGGCTGAATGCAGGGGATTCCGCACGAAGCCCCAAGGAAATGGCCACGAAATTGAAATGCCATTGCCACAAAGATTTCAAAGAGCGAAAGCTGAACGAACTGCGGGGCAAAATCAGAAGAGACGTGCCGGGACCCAAAATCATTGCAGTGGAACCCAAGCCGAGAGCGATGCGGAAATAAAATAACAATGCTGCACCGAACGAAACCGATTTCAAACTTACTTTACTATATAGCCATTGATATGGTAAAAGTGCGCTTCGGGGATCCGTTTGTTCTGGTGAAAATTCTAAGCATTGGCTTGACCTGTTACGGCAAACAAAAACGGCGGACCTGCAATAAAATCCAGCCAACTTGGCCCCGATTTTTTCTGGCGTACTCAGTTGAATGCTGTTGAATGCAACAACTTTCGGCACAAGTGCAAGCGAAGCAATTGTCTTGGATTCCGTGTCCGTGGATATTTTTTATTGAGCCAGCTGGCTGGCCGGAGAGGCGGGAATCGGGGAAAGGGAAGGCTAAGAGGGCCAACAATGGCAGGAACATGACCGTTTCCAGGACAGGACGCTCGCGGTCGCAGGACATCTGTGATCAGGAGCATCAATGCGTTTCTATTTACCATATTCAGATTTTCCCTTCCCTCCCTTTTTTTTTTGTTTGTTTGTGACAAAAAACAAAGGCCACTATAAAATATACAAAAAGTGAACGGCCAGAGGGCAGAGGGAGGGAGGATGGGAGGGATGCGAGGTTGGATGGATGGGATGCCATGACGCATCTTGTTTACGAAACGCATCTTCCCTCCGTCGGCGGCGGCAACTCCTTGGCCATTTCCCTGGCAATAAAGCCATAAAGCGGACCGCGTGCTGAGGCCCAGATCGGGCAGGTAGATATAGATATAGACATCGAATGTGTATGTAAATACGTATGCCCATCGCGACCTCCCCAGGACACTCGTCGACCCTTAGCCTCGATGATGATTATGATTGCTGCGATGGCAGCGACAGCGCACTTGTTGATCCGCGACAGGGTCAAGTAAGCTGGCAATCGCTGGGCGCTCGGAAAGGCCCGCCGGAGTGCCATCCGGCGTCCTGGTCGGTATTTCCGCATCCTGTGGGAATTTCGCGATGCACTGAGCCGGGGGAAACACACCGAGGACGAGGACGAGGACGGCACTCCATCCACTGATGGCGATCCACATGTGTTCCGCAAATGGGCGAGGCTACTTAGGCTCTAATTTCGCGGCATTCAGCCAGTCAGTCGAGTCACCTGATGCCATCGCAGCTGGATCCTGGATTTGCCCAGGGCCATTTAGCCATCCCACCAGGTGCTCGCGAGTCCTTGACCGCCGGACAAGTCGGCAAGTACAAGTGGAAAGTCGAGAGTCGAGAGTGAAGGTGAATCCGGAAAACAATCTCAAAATCTCGCAGGAGTACAGTTGATGTTTTCTTTTTCGAGTTTATTATTTTTCAGCTTTATCTGTACTTAAGTGCAGTCAGTTTAAGGATGACTATATGCTACACTTTATGGGCTTGTAAATGATATATGAAACACGCTCCACTCCACACTCATTTAAGTACAGTTGTGCTCAAATGCTGTATCCAAAAGTGCCATCAACAATTAAGCATTCTCCACTTATCTGCCACGCCCCCTCATCCTGGGACTCGTTTTACGATGGCCACTCTACGTGCCCATCTCAGTTTTTGGGTCAGCTTTAAAGTGATTTTGATGGAGGAATGTGGAGGAGAAGACTAAGTGCTTAAAGCCCAATTCAGACTGGCCATATTCTGTACATCCTTCTCATTAAAGCCAGACCCACATTATTTCCCTATCGCCTTTTGTTGACTATGTCCTTGGGAAATACTAAACAGGCTTTGGTACGAAATAATAGTTACATTCCTTAGTAAAATGGACTTGCTTTAAATCAAAAAAGAATCTGTTAATATAGTTTATTTAATAATTTGAAGGGTCACCAAACAGCTTTGCTAATTTTTGATTTTATTAAAACTCAAATTTCTATGCGAAAATCGGAAAAGCTCAAAACAGTTCCTGCTTGTTTTTTTGTAATTAATGTAGGTGATACCGCAGGATCGACTTCTTTCCCCTTTTTTTTACAGTGAGTTGTTCCCATATTGGTTGGTTCCTCCGAAGCCTTAGCACGCGTCACATTAAACAGAGTCGAATTCAGTTGAGTTTTTGCCATATAGGTAAGCGGCTTTTCTCCGCACACCTGCCACTCCCCCTTTTCCCCGTCCAGTGCCCCTTTGATTTTGGGTTCCTGGGAACTCGGAAAATCGGAAAATCGAAAACTCGGGAACTCGGGAACTCGCAACGTGAGGCAGACATCTCTTGCCGCCCGTAATCGTAGAAAATCAATAGCATTCCCCCACTGATAATTGTGTTTGTGTTATGACTGTCGCGCATTCTCGCCTCCTGTTTCTCTCGGTGTGTTCGGTGTGCCATTGTGTCTGTCTGTGTCTGTGTGCTTTCTTATAAATTATTGAACGGCTTATGGAGTTTTTGCTCCGCTCGATGTTTATTTACATTTGTAATCCTGTTTTTTGTGCCACTTATCACAAAGTTTACTGGGGAAAGAAACTTTGGCTGATTTGGTTGCGTTTGCATTTAGCAAAGCCCACGAGCTGTTGATGCGACTCATGTCGAGATAAATAATATTCGCCAATATTCCCCAAGTAGATTTCGCCACAAGCTGTTAAACCTGACAGCAGCTGCAAGCAAGCAAGTCATTTAATATATATGGGAGATAGTAAATAAAGGCTCTCTGACTAGCTGTTATCTGCTTTAAATAAATGCAAAATGTTGGGTGACATTTAAACAAAAGAATGTGTTTAATATGTTTCGATTTATTGTATATAGTAGTATTCAGATTATATTTATTTATATCTGCTTATTTGTCACCCACATGCAAATCTATTTTTTAAAAACAGTGATAATTTAATTAAATTCGTTCTCAGGCTGGCTTTCACTTCAGAGTGCCTAAGTTTATGCTAATAGTGTTCCTCCTCCTTGAAGGCGGTTCCATATTTAATTGGTGCCAGACACATTTCTCATCTCCCTAACCGAAACCCCAGTTGTTGAGTCACAAATTGCGTAAAATGTTTTTGTTAATTGCCAACCGAGTCCTTGCTCGTCCTTCTTCCATTCTTAACTATATACGAACTCAGGTTCTTTGTTTTCCCGGCTACTGATTATTAAAATTGCATTCGCAGTTGTTGTTGTGGGTTGTTTGCTTGCTCTAACGAGCATTTAATGGCAAATTCCGAGCTGGTGACACACACACACACACACACAGGAAAAGGCTGAGATAAGCGGGGAGAAAATCGAGAGAAAATCAGGGAAACTGGGCGAAGGAAGGAAAGGGAAATTCGGATTGGGCTTACCTGCAGCGATTTCCCTTCCGGTTTTGCACTTTTCACCCTTTTTCCCTCGCTCTCTCCGCCTAATTTGATTTTTATTACACTTTTCCCAGTTCATTATAATGCCTGCTTGCTGGCCTTATCGTTCGCTTTTCATTCATAAATTACGGGGAAATTCAGCAGATAGTAAGGTTGTTTTTTTCCCCGCACTCTTCGCCGGAAAATCCCCCGCTTTTACGACACACATCCTTTGTACTGATCCCTGTGGGAATTGCGTATAATTTGCGCATGTTAATTAGCTCATTTCGGGCATAGATTTGGGCCCATCGTCGAACACATGTAATTAAGCAAATTAGGCAAATGAAGCAACTAAATAAATAGTTCTAGGGTGGACCAGATTCTATATTTAAAGGGGGTGGCAGCTGGTTGCTAAATGCTTTCAAGGTCGCTTGCCAAACGGGCAGACTGGCTCCCTTTTTGGACACCTTGCACTGGCAAAAATACTGGGGTACCATTCGAAGAACAAAAGTTACAAATACAGAAAAATATTTATATTTAATTAAACATTGTTTATGTAAAGCACTCTTTTGTCTGACTGTATTTTTGGGGATTTTGAGAAGGGTTTTGGGAGGAAGGGCTTCGAGTACGTTGAGTGCCCCACCTGTTCGAAGGCTTAGTGATGGTCTCTGCGGTTCTTGTGGCTGGTTTTGGGTTTCATTTGAACCCAGGCCCTTCTCGCTTCTCATTTATCATCGATGTACCCCGAAACAGACGCATCTGCGCCAAGGCCTTTCGCCTTTTGGGCCAACTTTTAATGCAGTAAATAACGACAGAAAGTTAGTTCGTCTGGGGTGCGAGTGGGAGCCCTTGGCTGGCTGGCTGGCTTTGAATTCCCCTTCCCCCCAAGAAGCCACCACCCACATTTGCATATGCTCGAGTGAGAAATGCAGTCGCAGCACTTTGCTGAAACTTTGGTGAAGCATCCAGCGACGTCAGCGTCTGGAAAACTTCATCCTTGACACCCCAACACGTAGGGAACCCCCCAACCCTTTCGTTTGGTTCTCTTGAGCAATCATCTGGGGATAAGCATGGCCATATACGATCCTTTAAGTGCTCCGTGATTGCATAATGGAGGGAGTTTCCAAGTGCAGGACTTGTCAAAATTCCTCGGCCAACAAATCTGTTTGCAGAGTGTTTATCGCACTTCCGTTCGGTCACTTTTCCTCGATAATTTTCCTCGGGAAAATGCTTTCCGAGCTGCCACTTGCCACAAACTAGAGTTGACTTTGAAATGCCTCCCGCTTGAATCAACTTAATTTATGGGTTTCTTTGAAGCTTGTGGAATCTGAAACGATTTTAAATAAAAAGTTATTTTATGTATAATATAGTTTTCTATATTGTTAAATTCATTTTAGTTGTGCGTCTGGAGGTTTTAGCCGAGGAAGTCACTACTGCAGCCAGTCTTTCGGAAGGTGAGTTCCCATCGGAGAAGCACTATATGGCTTACTATATCTTTTCAAACCCCACAGAATGGGGCTCTGGTTGGCGGGGAACCAACTTCCTCGTGGAGGTCGAGCAGACCGCTCCCATTTCGCCGCTCTCCCTCCTCCTCGGCGTCCTCGAATGCCAGCGAGGATTATGTCGGGGAGCTGGGGAGCCAGGAGGTGGACGAAGGATTCACAACAGGTGCCACAACAGGAGCCTCCAATGCCACCGCCGTGGAAACAGGTAGGTCCCAGCAAATTAAATCCTGTCTTCATGTTTTTATTGAAGCCCAAAGACAGGATATATATCAATTTAAAGCTTCGTTGCTAGGCGAAATACAAAAGTGTACCTGCCAGGAGTTTTTAGTATTTTTTAAGTGCAGGAAAAGTTTCAGCTGTAAAAGCAAACTCCAAACTTTAATTGGGGAGTTGAAAAATTGTTGGGAAAAAAACCACATTGAAAACACATAAAACCACATTTCTGAAATATTTTATGTGTTTTAGATATGGTTTACTTTAGGGTCATATGCGAGAATATGTCTTTGTTATTCCCTAAGATTAATATAAATCCTCACTAATTTCGTAATAACCATTTTGAAGCGAACATAGATTAGGGAAGACATCTGCGTAATAGGAGGTGTTTCCACTCGCGGAATAATAAGTTTCCACGGATGTGGCACACATGTAGCCGGGAATGAAATCCTGCGGCTAAAGTCGCTGATTCGGTGGCTTAATAAATCCCAATACACAATCCCAATTCCCAAGCCAAACGCAATCGCAATCGCAATCCATTTGTTTATCGCGGAGATTTCACGTCGGCGATAATTGAATTCGAGCCCGACTCTCGACTCTTGAGTTATTTACGCGCAATACGTGCGACCAGTTTACAGTCCCAACAAATCCGTGTTGTTTTATGGCCAAAGGAGAAACACAGTCCGTTGGCATCGAAGACAAATAAACAAATCGCAATATTTTTCAGGACCCAAGATCATCGTGCGCACCGAGGAGGTGCTGATTGTGGGATTGGTCCTGGTGCTCTGGGTGGGCGCCATCATGCTCTTCTTCAACCGGTGGGGCAAGATCCGGATGCTGGAGCCCTACCAGCCGAAGTTCCAGCAGCAGCACCGCAGCTCCTGTCCACTGGTCGACTTGGATGCGGTCACCACGCACCAGGTAAGTAGATCATCCAAACGTTTATTCACTGTATTTCATCTGATACCTTATTAAATGTAATACTTCATTTAGTAAAGGTTTCCCTTGGCAACTATTTGAAATAAAATCCACTTTGAACCTCGAGCAACTTTATCCGTATATCTGTATATCGGAAATTCAACGCCTGACATATATGTTTTTTATGTTTTTTTCAGCGCTCCTCCGTGTCGCGAATGTCGATGGGCATGGTGCACAATCTCAATATGCCGACGTGTCAATTTGCGGCCTATAATCCCAACATTTATGCCAAGGGTATGTACGTCATTTGCTTGCCCTTTCATCCGCCTCCCCTTTTTTTTTTGCACACGTACCATCCAAGCAGCCAACCCTCCAACCCTCCAACCTCCAACCCCCATCAGACCATCAGACCTCCCCGAATGCAATTAAAATCGAACATCCATCGAGCTCAAAGTATCCGCAACTTGTACTGCATACTTTTGTGCGTCGCCAAGAGCGGTTGGCCACAGTGGGTCAAGATCTATTTGGATTGGAAAACACTTACCGAAAATAATTATAAGGGGTTCAGGTTCAGAAAACCATGTTCTATGAGTTCTCCATACACAACAGGTTGTTTCAAAGAGGGAAACCTATTATTAAATTGAAATTCGAATACCATATTGTTGGGCTTAGTCACACTTGAATTCAATAAAGTGGTTAAACATATGCAGACATCTGTTCGCATTGCAAATCCACTTAGCTCTGTTGTAAGCCCTCCCAGGAAACGCGACGCGAATCGAAATACTTATGCGTAATGCTCGCTATTTGAAACGTTCATTAATGCGCCCGCCCCCCTCGAGGGCCACGCCCCCAAAAGCTGGTGAAACGGCATTTAGTTGTAGTCACTTTTCCGCTCCGATTTCAATGCCAGGACGTTTTTTTTTAATGAGTTGCCAGACAATTAATTTGCCGCTGAGCGAAGGCAGCGGAGCGCATGTGAAAGCAAATAACAATACAATTTTAATGCCTCTGCTGGCTGGGGATTCCCCTCCGGTTCTTGTACTCCACATCCACACTCGCATCCCCTCCAGAGTTGCGCAATTAAATCTCGTGGAAACTCGGGGAACGAATGGCCAGGAGGACAAGCCAAGATAAAGATACGCACATAAAACATGTAAGGGCGACCTACACTGGAAAAATATTTACTTGAAAATGGGATAAAAATTGAAAAAAATCGACTAAATAAAACAAATTCTAATGATGCAGTTTGATAGAGAATTAAAATATAAATTTTTAGAGGTATGCCACTGCAATATTATGAATAAATGAATTATGGATGAATATTAGAAAAGTTATGGATAAGAATTAGTGAAATTTGGTCAATTTTCAGCAAAGCCATTTCTTGGAAATTCGGAAAGGGGTTGTATCATGAAAATTCAAAAAATAAAAATCGATTTTATAATGCAGTTTGCTCAAGAATTTAACCACAAATTTAAGGTATGCCACTTTGAAATCGGATTTGAATTAAAGTTATGGGCATACAACATTGTTAATCCCCTGCCGTTTGTTTCAGTGCAAAAAATAAAGGCAGCGCTGATAATATGTGGTTAAATCTGCAGGAGGCGTCGCGGTGGAAGTGCTGAGTTGAGACCTTGGTACCTTGGCGGAAAGTATATCAAGTTGAGTCAGGAGAAGGCAGCCCAAAAGGGTTCCCCAATCGCAGGAGGCAGAAGGCGATGGAGAGCACGTGACACGAGCTTGTTCTGACCTACAAATTAAAACGAGAATTGAACAGCATGAGAATTAAATCAAATGCTCTTAACTAACCATGTTGGCCAAGTACACTCTGTCCATCAATTTGTGGTTTCGATAATTGAGTACAAATTGAGCCAAACATGTTGACCAATTAGGATGTTCACAAACTAGTTTTCCAAAGATAATTGAATGCACTTTTGCGGAGGCAATTCTGTTTGTAAATATAGTGAATAATTAATTTAAATTGTTGGGTTATTTATTTGGTTATGCACTGAGTAGAAAATATTTTTTATTGCCTTGAATCCACAAACTTTTATCCTGACATCACGCACCCATCCCCAGACATTTTCGGGTCGCCTCAGCGAATCTGCTAGCTCATATTCATGCCCTGCTGATTGTTGCCTCAGCTGGAGCAAGTGTGCGACCTCCAGACACTAATTTATCCCGGGAGCTAACCATTATCCTTTATTTCGCGTACTTTCAGGCTACGCCTCGCATGTTTCGGCGTCGCGGCCCCGCCAAAATTCGGTGTTTGTGGGTGCCAGTACCAGTCACTACTTGATGCCAAGGCCGCCGCGGAAGACCCGATCTGCGATGGACCTGCACTCCATGGTCCTGGACGAGAGTGCCGAGCAGGTGTAGGCCTCACTGGGGAGGTCCTGCGGTCGAGTTTTTTTTTGGGAGAGTGTGCTAGGTCAGTCTACAAGTCGGTGGGGTGTGCGTGCGTATGTGAGTTCCATTTTCTTGGGGGTCCTTTAAAGTAAATTACTGCTCCAATAATTTCTAGAGTTGTTGAATCTTCTGTTAAAGTTTTTAAAGTGTACTACAAAAAATCTTCAATCAGAAAGTCTTATTTGAAGTGCTCTGAGTAGATGTTTTTTACTAAGAGCAACCAGTGTTTCCGTTTCCATAAATTGCAATTTAATTTTATTATTTATTATTTTCGACTCGCAAAAGAAAATGGATAACTTAGTGGTGAAAATGCGGTTTATTTTTTATCAGGGGCCTGCAACTGAGGGAGAAAAGAATGATGGGTGGATTAGCACTGTCCAATATTTGCAACTATATATGTATATTAGCCACTCCCAACAAACTTAATGCCATTTTCAACCCTCTCTGTCGCACACACACCTATTTCTGTGCTGGCACAGAGTCAATTTGAGTCAATTTTATTTAGGACCAGTTAACACACACGAAAGTATCGGCTTAACACACCGCAATTATGTAGGAGTATCTATCTTAGAGTGTTCTTAGCCCTATCCAGTTACTCAACGTAGTCTTTGCCTAACAAAACACATTTTCCTAGCGTGTTTCTACTCCTACTCCACAGTATTGGATGCCAGAGCAAATTGTTAAATAAACTCACGTATACACTTAAAGTAATTGAATATATCCGCGAAACTGTTTAGTTCGTAAGCCTAAAGCTCAAAAATCAATTAGCATGAACCTCCAAACTCGACCAATTGTCTGGAACGAATATGTTTTTCCAGCACCTCTGTACGGCACTCTAAATGTACCTAAACTTAAGTGATTTCGACCAAGGAAAACTAGAAAAGTATGCAGATAGAGGGGGCGGGAACGATTAGATGGAAAAACGAACAACTAACTAACGAAAGCTTTAAATTCTTTGGGTCTCCTGGGGACCTGCAAAACCAAAGCCCATCCAGTTCGAAGTAAACTTAACCAAAGCTGAGGACTATACTTTAGGCGTAAGATAAAACTACAGACGTGTGTAAGTTTCTACAAAAATGTCTAGTGGAAAATATGTGGATCAATGTACACTGTAACAAAAAACCAAAGAAAACCAAAAGAATATAACCTCAACTTAAAGATAAATCACACAGTCATACCGTTTTTCTTCACAACTCGGAAACCAAATGAAAAGCTAAAGTCGTTGAAAACAAATGTTAAATTAACTCGTTTACAATATTTACAAGAGCCTGAGCAAAACCAATTATATATATACACTCGTGTACTATATCAAAAACTAACTTACGTTTACATAAATATTATTATATACATGTACGAGTATGTTTAAATAAACCCAAGAGGAATTATATACATTTTGAAGAATTCAATTAAAATTATATTTGAAGCAAAGCGAGTGTTTTACTTGGAGTTTCCTTTAGCGCAGATCGACCTTCGACCTTGGCTAATCCGAATCTCAAGAGCTTCGATTCGATTCCAATTCTAGTTCTGGCCAAGTGGGAGGCAGATGTTCTGGGTAATGTTTCGGCCAAAGTGTTTATGGTGTGTGGGCGTGTCATAAAGTACAGAGCTATTTGCTTTCGACTCTTAATAACCCGGAATATGGATGCGGGGCAAATTGGTGTCACCCCACGCTGGGACCCCATAAACGGGCAACATTTCACAGATGTCGTCGGACTCGAACTCGGCGGTTCGATTGGTTTGGCCGAGTTTTCGAAGGCTTCTTTGTTGGCCATAAACACATTTGACAAGGCGGGTAAATGGCCAACAGTGCGATGGGAGGAGTGGGCGTGGTGGCGGGGCCAATAAACGGAAGCCATTCCATGTCTGGCCATCTCGACCATCGGGTTCAAGTGCAGCCGATTTATGATGGCACCAGAGCTGCGTTTGCGGCCATTCTAGCCATTTTGAAGCCCTTTTTAGCTTTAACTGCCTAAATGGCTCACAAGTGAAATCATTTTTGGCAGTTGATACAGTTTTGGACGGAAAAGAGCAGTCGTCCCAGCATTGGCAGCACTCTCTGCAGCGGAGGGAAAGGGGAGAGGAAGGACCTTGATGTCGCCGCGGGCCACAAATCAAACGCCATCCCATTTTTCTCCTCCTCTTAATTTGCAGCTGGACAGAAAATAGAATTACGCACTACGAAGATTGTGATCCCACGCTTTTGGAGAAAAAGGAGCTACAGGACATCGGACATACTGCATAAACATATAGTAAACAGCAGCCGAATTGCTATATTTATCGCAATGCAATATGTGGCAATAATCATACAACGGCTGTAAATCAAAATTTAACGTGCAGCACGCAACTTAACAGTCAAATGTTAAATAACATTAATAAAAATGAAAAAATAAATAACATGAATAATTAATGTTAATGTAATGTAAATAACTTTATGTGCCCCTCAAGGTATGCAATGAAAATTTTATATTTTGTATTTTAACGTCTTTTACGTGCCCCCCAAGGTATGCAATGAAAATTTTATATTTCTAACGTCTTTCTGTCATTACAATTCCCAACCGTTTCTGGCCAATCTGTCATGGGATACCAGCTAATTTGGGCCGAAGAATTAGTCATCGGTGAGACCGGAAGTTCCCATCTGGAACTTGTCCGAGTATCTAGTGTGTGTGTTTGTGGAGTGATTGTGCTTATGGTGCATGGTGGTACTGGCCTCCACTCCCGGACGCAGTGCATCGGCCGCATAAGTGGTAAATATTTAATAATTGAAATAAATATGGTGAAATAATTAGTGCTCTTGGTTGCAGGCTAAGAATGGTTGCCTTCTTCCCTGGAGTGGATTTCGGGATGCAGTGCATCAACATTGAACCTGGTGGGTTTCAATAAATTAAATTAAATATAGAGTTATATTTTAAATTAAAGTTTATAATTACTTATTTATACTATTCTTTTAATTGCAGATCTGTAGTGCTTCTTTTCAAGTTGGAATGGACTTGTGGACTTCAGAATAGAGCGCATCAAGAACCAAACTGAGTGAGTACCAATCTTAAAAGTTTAAGATTTAGTTTTAAGTAAGTAAGACATAGTTTTGTAAGTAAAGTAAGCCGGAGTCATCGCCCGCTGCCAACGTACAAGGATCGCTGAGAAATAAACAACTTTATCACCTTCATCGCTCATCTTCAGCAACACGGAGTGGACAACTTGCCAAAAAAGGTAGTATTTTAGCGAGTCGTTAAATAGTTATATAAATTTCTAAATATATCTTTATTTATTTCCAGGTGTTGGTGTGTTTGCAGTCGTTGCTGAAGATAGATGGCGATACCATGGCACTACTATCCAGGCTGCAGCTTCGAGAACCTAGCTAGGTGTGTATTATTAATACAAAATATTTTAACTCAATATTAATATTTTATCACTTGTTTATATTATTTCGTTACAGGTTCCAGGTTTGTTTGTGTTTCTTAAATGGACGTTGGTGCTTGGGTACTAGTGTCCAGACTGCAGAATGGAGAACCTAGCAAGGTACGTATTATTGATCCGAACTAATTTATCACAAAAATAATATAATATTGCTTATTTTAATTATTTCGTTACAGGTTCCAAGTGTGTGTGTTTGTATTTCTTAAACGGACGTTGATACTTGGGTACTAGTATTCAGTCTGCAGATTCGAGAACCTAACAAGGTACGTATTATTCATCCAAACAAATTTGCACTAATATGTATTATTAATTCAAACTAATTTAACACAATATTAATACAATATTATTTGTTTAAATTATTTCGTTACAGGTTCCAAGTGTGTGTTTGTTTTTGTGTTTGTTAAATGGATGTTGATGCCGAGAGCACCTTAAATTTACCTGAAAACAGGATGCAGGACACAGGATACTTGAGATTATACGCAGTGAGTACCATATTTGTTTATTAATTTTATAATTTTAAGATTACCCCTTGTATGGGCTCGGATATAAGTCGAGTTAGGAATATTTTGAGAAAGACTATTATTATTTTACCTGCTTATAATTTCCCAAGAAAGCTTTAAGAATAGGTGTGATGTAAAATTATTTAGATCATAAAACGCCAAGAAAACTGAAATGTTGGTGTGATATTGCTGGTTCAACAGAATTCCAGCGGAGTCAGCTCATAAAATGAGGGAACAAAAAACATCCACCCCAACAGCAAATTCCATGAACATTATTACCACACTCGCAATTTGGCCAAAATTATGAACATTCAGCTGGAACCTAATCTACAAAACGCTTAACGATGACAATGGCGAGGGGAATCTGCATGACAATGTGAATTAATTCCAGACACACGACCGTATCCATTCTGGGGTCCCATTTGGGGACACCACATCGGTGGCCATGCGAATCTCGGTCAGTTGTGTGTCAAAGATTGATTGGCATGGCCGCGTAAAAATTAAGTACAAGTGTCTAATATGGGATGGTATAGATTTATGGACTAAAGGCCAAAGTTATGCACCTAGCTTGTGTTTATAATCTTCCCTGAAAGTCAGTCGAACGTTTTCCCTGATTTTCAATTTGCTTTTGGCGCTCTTTCTTCGTTATCTTTGATTCGTCCACTGAGGGACATTTAAATGGAACTTCGGCCCCAGCATCCACACGTCAGCAATTGTTATTGTTGGGGAGCAAACGCCGGAAGCCTTCAACGCCCCCGACTCTTAGCGGAATCTTCGTTTTCGATGCAAGGACACGCACAGCTATTGCGCACATGCAGTTCCCTTTCTCCGCTTCCGTACATTTCCATTTCCATTTCCCTATTTTCCCTTCGTCCCTCGGCAGAACCATAACATTTTCAGTGCAGCGCGCTCGCTTTTCCGACTTTTCCCACCGACTCCCACATGAGCGATCACTTTAATTGCCGCAGCTTTGTTTCGATGCCAGCGGTCATAAACGTAAATCAGAATTTTGGATGGCTCAAACGCGGTGGCAGACGTGTAGGAATTTTAGCCTTAATGTTCTGATTTTTTTTGGAAACTTAGTATGCTTCTTACATCTCTTCAAAAATTAAATTTATTCCAGCATTTAAGCCGTTCCTTTTCAACTAACCATTTCCTTGTTTTTCTGAGTGAATGGCTCGATCTTTTAGGAGCACCAATTTAGCTAATCTGCCATAAGGATGGGGAATATTTTTGAAATGTATGCAGAGTGTTTCCCGCTCGCCCCTGCTAATAGTTTGTCCGGCTGATGGATGGCCTCCTTGCTCCGCCGGCAGGATGAATTGCGCCCCAGGAAGTCCGGATGACTGGAAGACCGGCTAGCCGCCCTCCGAGTGACGTACATCCACCCATACATCAAGTGCAAGCAGACATGAAATTTGATTACCAAAACAGCAGTGCTGGCTTTTAGCCGGCAAACCAAACACATTTTCTTCCGCCCATTGTACAGCGTACAGAATATGATTAATCGCAGCTGCAAATGCAGCTGCAGTCCGAGCGAAAGCCACTGGCTAATCAGTTTTCCTGTCTTTCGTCAACACCAAGATGGCACGGAGTGGGTCTGCTAATTATGTTGGGGATGAAATCGGACCACCCCCATTTCGCCAGGACATTGTGGTGTGCTTTCTTAAGCCTACACAAGGAGAAAATACAAAGAAATTGGTAAGACATATTCGTTCTTGGCTGAATTTCGAAGTCGATAAGCCAAGTCTTGGAGCTGCATAATTAAATTAATTATAATTAAAACAAATGAGTATTTCCATCTGAGGTAAAATTGTTTTTTGTTGAATTTGAAGTACTCTCTTCCCATTTTATTGTTGCGGTGCATCGTGCTGTGGTGACAAATGCAATAAAGAGCGAAGGCGAGAAGCTTTCATTGATGACGGTGGGGAGCATGGAGGCTTACTGTTGCCAGTTTGATTAATGACGGCGATTGCCACGACCGATGTGCGGATGGAGGATGGAGGAGGGAGAAGGGGGACTTCCGAGGGGCTTTCAGCGGAGTCTCCTTTGGCAGGGGCCGACCCCGGCATTGGCCACTTTCATGGCCAAGCCACTTTATTACTGCGAGGAGAACTAAGTTGTCTGCCCGGACGGCCATAAAACATCTTCACAGAGTCATTTTAAGTCAGAGAAAACGCTGCCACAAGCCGGGAATCAATCAGGAGGGGCGGCAAAGGGGGCGTAACCGGAGTGCAGCCCCACTGTCATCAATGTTTACGACTGGCCATAATGACGAAACACTGCGAAAAGGAGGAGGAGACTGGCATGGCATAATCAAAAGGACACGCAGCCTCATCAAGTTTTTCGCATTTTCGGGGGCTTCCCCTTTGTTGTTCGCCAGCCATTGTTGCTGGGAACAATGCGTGAAAATAAAACGACCGATAATGAGTGCGTTCCCGAGGCGAAGACGAGCGACGCTGACCCAAGCTTGGCCAGCTATACAGCCATACAACCTAACAGCCATTCATATCCATGTGCTGACAGCAAATTGTCCAGAAACTCAAAAAGGCAACAAGCCGTTGAAGCCATAAAACGCTTGGCAAAGAGCAAACCCAAAAACTGCCCCCTTCATAAACGCCCATAAAGATATGCTACGAAATAGTGAATGAGACACCAAGAAAACGGGAAAAGGTTTCTGGCAAAGGCTATCAATTTTGGGAAATAGCCAGATGTGCGAATCGTTTTCGAGACTATCAAGGAGCTTCAGCCAATTGAGCAAATCGCGAACGGGCTGTTTTCAATATTTTGAATCGTCGCGCTAATTTTATGTTTTGGTTGCAGAGCTGCCAGACTGTTCAATTCCATAAACATATCGTGTTAAAATTAATAGCATTGATGTTAGTTTACAGAAATGTTGACGCAGGATAAGCTTATGCCACTTAATAAGATTATCGATAGCAAATACGATTTTAGTACACATTTTTTAGCGCCAATATTTAAGCAAGTTGCAATAAAATTTTCTTGTCGAAGCATACTATTAAGTTAAAACCACCATAAACCACCTCGTATATCATTTAAAATAAGTGCAAGAATGCAATTTACAAAACGATTTGCGTACGATTTAATAAAAAAAATGGGATAACAGGTCGAGATTTTGGGAGAAATGCATCAGGATAAGGACTACATGAAGTCATCCGACTCGTTGCCTGCATCGTAGTTGGTTCGCATGTTCTCTGATTTTTGGAGGGAAGCGTAGCTGCGCAGTTCCGCCTCTAACTGGCGCTGCTTGGCGGCCTCCTTCTCCTGATCGCGCCGCTCCCTCTGCAGTTTCTTCTGATCCTGGCGCTCCGCGGCATCCCGGGCCTCTCGCAGTCCCCGGAAATCGGGATGCTCCTCCTCCGTCTTGGTCTTGTTCAGCCGGTTAACAATCTCATTGACGCGCTTCTCCAAACGGATACGGCGCACCGCCTTCTCGTCATGATAGGCAACCTGGCCGGGTTCCATGTCCGCCGTCTTCTTTAGGTTCTCCCACATGGTGTAGACCACCTCCAGATTGTTGACCTTGTTGCCTTGGATGCTGTTGGCCTTGCAGAGTTGGGCGGCATCCACCAGCACATCGCTGGGAATGTCATCGATCGTCTGTCCCTTTCGGAGTCTCAGGTAAACGTGGGCTGACGACAAATCGTGGACGTGGAACCACACGTCCTCCGGCCATCCCCAGCGGATTAGCTCCTCGTTCTCGTGCTTGTCGCGACCCATGTACAGCATCGCCGGCGGTTGGACTAAGTTGCTCTTGAAGTAGAACACCATTTCTTCGACTTTTAGAACACAATGCCAATGTTAAAGCTCCAGCAGGTGGTCACCAACTACTTCGTTATACTTATGAGGTATTTTGTGCTTATTCTTGGCTCGGCCGACCTCTGTGATGTTTCTTTTACCTAAACAAGGTAAAAAAGGTATTAAACTGGGAATATTTAATTTTTATTAATATTTACGTGCCGGTGCGTTAGAGATGGTCGGTAGGAAGTTGAAATGTAATCGGTTAGCCTGCGGGTAAGCTTATCAAGTTCCATGGCCAACTAGTTGATGTCGGATCTGATATATCGATAGTTAGCTAATGCACAAACCATTTCATAGCAAGCACACCCACCCTTATTGGCTTCCCATCTCTAGTTGTTTTATTTTTTATTGGTTGAGCGGTGCTTCGGATTGCACAGATTTTAATTCTCAATTGGCGGTCTTTTGCTGCTGTTATTTTGTTTAATTGTGAATTCTTCAAGCGAAATGCTGCGCCATATGACACTTGAGTCCGTCCGAGAGCTCTGTCGCACCTGTCTGCTCCAATTGGACAAAGAACCCATTAAAAAGGAGTTCATACCAGATGAGATTCCAATCAGCAAGGAGCTGCAACAGCTGCTCAATATCAACCCCTCCGAAGATTCGGCTAATCAGGATATGGAGCAATGCCTGCCCATCAAAATGTGCCTGGAATGCAGAGAGCTTGTTCAAAACTTCGAGAGGTTCCGTAGAAAAGCAGAGGAATGCAGGCAGCATCTTCTGGAAATGCTAAAAAAAGAAAAGAACATTCAGGAACCCACTTTCGAGGTGGTTTATGGCGACAGAGAGGAGGACCTTAGATCCCTGCATAGCTTGGAACCACCTGAACCCGAACCCGATCCAGATCCCATCGATGAACCCTCCGAAAAGCCGGAAAAACCGCCCAGAAAGTACTCCAGGGGCTCGAAGAACAGTCTGAAGTGCTCCTTGTGCCAGCACAGTTTTGCCCACCAGATCACCTTAGCGGCGCACATCCGCAAGGTACATGAGGGCAGCAAGCGACCCTTCCAATGCAATCAATGCGAGAAGGCCTACAGTTTCATGGGTGGTTTGTATACCCACATTAGGGAGGTGCACGCTCCCAAGGAGCGACGTCATCCCTGCGATCAGCCAGGCTGCGAGAGGGTCTACACCAGCCGCATCGCCATGCAGAAGCATAAAAGACTGAAGCACAGTCCCAGAGACAGGGACTCGGCGAAAAAGTTCATCTGCGAGCAGTGCGGTGCCAGCTTTAATCAGTCGGCCAATCTCAAGTACCATCTGAAAACGAAACATCCGACGGAAGACGAGATGGCCGCCAAGGAGAGCGGCGCCGGGGAGCGTCACTTCTGTGATATCTGCCAAAAGGAGTTCCATTCGCGGTATACCCTCAGGTACCACACATTGCAGCAGCACGAAGGACAGAAGGATCTGCCTCATGAATGCAAAGTTTGTGGTCGCCGGATGGCCAAGAAGTTCATGCTACTGCAACACATGCTGATGCACTCCAGTGACAAGTTGCCCTGCGAGCACTGCGGCAGGAGATTCGCCCGGAGATTCGAACTGGAGGCCCACGTGAGAGCGGTTCATCTGAAGCTCAAGCCCTTCGCTTGTCGACACTGTCCAGAGAGCTTTGCTTCGAGGAAAACGCTGAGACACCACGAGTACATTCACACGGGAGAAAAACCTTACGTTTGCAGCACCTGCGGACAAGCATTTCGCCAGCAGACGTGCCTCAAAAACCACCAAAAGGTGCACGAGAAATAGTCTCATCTAGCTTAAGACAGGCTACTCTTATAAATACAGTGATTAAGTCGAAGTTTCCTGACTTCTAACGTCTGCAAACTTAATTAGCTTTAATGACCAGCAAGTTGTCAATAACAAGGTTTTATGAAGAATCCGGAGGCTTGGCTGTGGGATCCACTTGTGTGCTGTGCTGCTCCCGTTCGATGTATTGGGGAAGATCCTCCAGTGGCCGATAGTACAGGTGAACTGCTTGCGATCCGGCCATCATGGAAGCCGTGGCGCAGGCAAGGAACTTCAAGTACTGGCCCCAGGACACTCCGGCGGGCATTGTGTTTAGTCAGCGCTGCTTTTGGTCCTCGCCTGCAAATTCTGCTGCTCCTCTACGTAGTTCTTGGCTTGACGACGCTTAAAAGTGCGATCTAAAAGATTTTCTCAGTCAGCTTTTGTAAGTAGGGAAAGAAGCATGATTCTTACAAAAATTCGTCTCGCCGACTGTCCAATTGATCATAGAGAATTCGAGGCCAGCACCCAGCAAGAAGAAGAGAGGCAGAAAGCGGTAGATTCCGAAGTGCTTCTTTCCGGGCCAACTGTCCAGCAGACGACGCACAGATCCGCTGTAGGGACTCATGTGTTTTCAGCCGGTGATTATATAATTCTCTGTCGTTCCGCCTTTTTCCTGGCCTATATTCAAGGCCTCTATCACATGTGTGCGTTTATTCTGTATACGGTTTGATAGATAAATTCAAGTTTTGTTAGTTTGGTTTTTTAAAATTTGTCAAAATATAAAGGGACCTTAAACTAGCCTCACGTTTCAATTTTGATTTGTTTCTTAACAATCAGCTGTTTTATTAGTGGTGGGTAAAGGCCCAAGCTTAGAGATGGACTCACGAATGTAAGCATTATATTTATGGGGTTTTTTAATTAAAAATTGTGAATTTAGTTGTTAAGCCTCGCTCTTTTTCTGATGCGGTGAATAATAAATGTTTATTTACTACTTATTTTTAATTATTCCTTGCTTCAAGATTAGAGCAGACTTATCGCTGCTTCACCATTTTAGTAAACACCCATCCCTAACTATAGCGTTGCAAAAAAAGTTGCAGTCAAATAGTAAACAATTTAGGGCCCAATCATGATTCACAGCCTGTTTATAGTGAACAGCGGCGGGTAAGGCAGACATCAATAACCGATATAGAACCGATGAATAGCCTATATGTTCGCCACACAGCGAGGTTTTCTTGGAAAAACACTGGCGGTCGGTGGTCTCACGTTCCGTATGCGAATACTTCCTCGACGCCCAGCGTGCCGCTCCATATGTAAGCCGTCCCTGCCACGTATCGGCTATATTCTTGCTATATGTTTCGGTTCCAGGATGTGCCGCCGGTGATAGCTACGCCTCACTACTATTTGATTACGGTGCAAAGGGACACGGTGTCCCTGGTGGCCGCATGCAAACAGGAGGTGCCACCCTTGTTCGTCATCGAGTTCCTGCATCGCGTGGTGGACACGTTCCAGGATTATTTTGGCGACTGTTCAGAGTCCGTGATCAAGGACAACTATGTGGTCGTGTACGAGCTGCTGGACGAGATGCTGGACAATGGCTTCCCACTGGCCACCGAGAGCAACATTCTCAAGGAGCTGATCAAGCCTCCCAACATCCTGCGTACCATTGCCAACACGGTGACAGGCAAGAGCAAGTCGGTCGGTCGTCCTCCTCCTTGTGGATAGTCCTACAAATTCTCCCTTTGTATCTTTAGTGTGAGCACCACCTTGCCGTCGGGTCAGTTGTCGGCGATTCCCTGGCGCAGAAGTGGCGTGCGATACACCAACAACGAGGCGTACTTTGATGTCATCGAGGAGGTGGACGCCATCATAGACAAATCGGGATCCACAGTCTTCGCGGAGATCCAGGGACATGTAAGCAAAAGAAGCCTAATAGAAGGTTTTTGAGGGGCAGTTTCGTATACACATTAAGGGAAATATGTTGCACACCAATCTCTTTATCTCAACCTTCGACAGATCGACTGCTGCATCAAGTTATCCGGTATGCCAGATCTCACGCTGTCCTTCATGAATCCGCGGCTCTTCGATGATGTGTCCTTTCATCCTTGCGTGCGTTTCAAGCGCTGGGAGGCGGAACGCCTGCTCTCCTTCATTCCGCCCGACGGCAACTTCCGTCTGATGTCCTACCACATTAGCTCCCAGTCGGTGGTTGCGATACCCATCTACATCAGGCACAACTTCTCAATCAAAACTGGGGAACAGGGGCGTCTGGATCTGACGATTGGGCCGAGGAATACCTTGGGACGCACCGTGGACAAGGTGAAGCTGGAGTTAACCATGCCGAGGTGCGTGCTCAACTGCCTGCTGACGCCGAATCAGGGCAAATACACATTCGATTCGGTGACCAAGACTCTGTCCTGGGATGTGGGCCGCATCGATGTTTCCAAGTTGCCAAATATAAGGGGATCGGTACGTAGTCTTTGGAATGACTCTCAATCTATGCTAGCAAGAGTTTTGTGTTTTCACCTGCTTAATGATACACTCAACTAGGTTTCCATCACGCCCGGGACGACAAACATCGATGCCAATCCGTCCGTGAACGTCCAGTTCCAGATTTCGCAGCTGGCCGTCTCCGGGCTGAAGGTGAATCGCCTGGACATGTACGGCGAGAAGTACAAGCCCTTCAAGGGTGTCAAATACCTGACCAAGGCGGGCAAGTTCCAAGTGCGGATGTAGGCGTAATCAGCATTCCAAACCAGCAGCCGAATCCAGCTTTAATTAAGTGCTAACGCTAAGTGTATTCCACTGTTTTATGTCATTCAATGTTTTTGGCCCCGTGTCTCCCTCTCTATCTCATCTATGTATCTCTATCTGCCCATAAAAGTTAAACTGCAATCGAAGTTGTTCTTGGGCGTCGTCGTCGCCATATTCTAAGAGTAAGAATGCGAGAATCGATCGGGAATGAAGTTGCAAGTCGTCGAGTGGCGTGGCATGGCATGGCAATGGCTTCGTCGACTCCACTTCACTTCATGCCACTCCACTTCTACCTCCACCTCCACCTCCGCCTCCGCCCGATTTCAAACATAGCGCCTGGCAACAGCCAGCGAAAAAACCAATAAATTTAAATGAAAATGCAAAACTTGATTTTGCAGCCAGGCAAACGCATTTAGCATACGAGTGGTATGTAGGTATACATCTGTGTATAAATGTATGTGAACAATGGAGAAAAGTGAGGATTTGCTAAAGTTTATGATCAGAGAAAAGCTGAAAAAAACGAAAGTTTAAATTGAATTATAAACTTAATCCGGTTGGAAACAAAATATTCCTGACTTCGGTGAAGAGACTGTTTTATACCAAAAAAAATATATTACCAAGTGCGTGGCTAGAGGTTCCACTGTTGCTGGCTCGTTATCTTCTTATACAGCTTTAGCTGCATTTTTGTCTGTGGTCGAGACCGGCAACCGGTTTGCCCCCTGCCACGCCCCCTCCCCCTCTTCCCCTTCCCCCTCCTCTTAATCCAGTGCAGTAGGAGCAGCACCAACTTCTAGGCTTTTGGGCGCGGCGTGCAACGGTAGCCAACAAGCGCCACCAAAAAGCGACGTCGGCCATGGCTAGACATGTTATATACACACAGAGAGAAAGAGAGAGAGAGAGACGGCTCTTGGCCGGGCGCAGAGATTCGGACCCCAAACGGATCGAGAAAATAACTCAGGCTTCGAGTCCCGCTCGCAAGTCATTTTTCAAGCGTGGGAAACACTCGTTTGGAGCCAAGCTAGATCTGCATAAAGGAGGGGGGGGCAGCACAATTCGCCACACAGCATGCCCCAAAATCCAGAGTTCCTGTCCCTGTCCCTGTACAATTATTCCAGTGCGAGGGGAATCTAAACGCTCGTTAACAGCAGGCGACAGAGTTCGTTGCCTGAGTCTTTCGTTTCGCCCTCCTAGGGCTTTCCTATCGCCGTCTCTTTCCCTCTCCCCGAAGGTGAAAATTTGTGGCATTTAGTCAAAGTAATTGATAGAGCATTTCATTCGGTTCGATTGTAAACGCTTTCCATTTCCATTTGCATTTCCCATCGCTGGGAGAAGTGTTTAAAATCAAGAATTTAAGCTTAGCGCCTCGGAGTCGAATTGCAATATACTCTGCTTCCAAAACTATAATATACAATTGGAAATCTCTTAGTTACCTATAGATAAAGCATTTCATATTATTGAAGCTCAACGAAAATCCTATTATACTTTAAAGATATTTATTATATATACACACTTATTTAGATATATATAATAAATATCACACCTATTTAGATAGGTAGAGGGTATCAAAAAATAGTTGAAATTCCCGAGGCGGAACGATAATTGCATCTGTAATTGTTGCAGTTCATGAACAGATTTGTAGCATCTGAATGTGTTTTTTAATGAGCTCCTCGGGGTGTCGATGAAGCCCCATAAATTTCTTCGTTAGTGGAGAATGCACGTGATTTCGTGCCCTCAAACTCGTCTGAATCGGTACGTAATCCTGTTTTCTCAATGTTTAGCTGCTGTTCGGCTCTTGCTATCTGGTTTGGTAATACTAACATGCTCCAGTTAAGTACGACTATTAACATCATGCTAAATGGCTTTAAATGGATGCAAATGCAGCACTGCAATTGATCTACTTTCGAGTTCAAATGTTTGCACTCAAACTATAATTTTAAAGCAAATTTGAAAATGCTCTTGTGTGCTCTGCCAAAGAATAAGGTGTTTGCCCATCGTGAGTTTGAGATGTGAGTTGCAGTAAAACACTAATTGATTTCTATTTCTGTGAACTATATAAAGAGTTTATATAAGATGAAGCTAAGGAGGCAAAAGTAGGATATGTTCAGCTTAAGTATAGAGTATAATTACCCAGAATGAAGTTTATTCTTTGTAGCTCATCAGGTATGGAATTGTTTCATAATATCCTCCGATCTCGGCACTTTCAGAGCCAAAAAACACGGCGCAGCTAATGGAGCCTTTGGCCCCAAACAAGTTCAAGTGAAAGACAATCAACTGGCAACAAGCATTTGTCATTAGCGCAGCAAGGTTGCACCCCCTTCTGCCCCCCTCGGAAAACGCAGGGGCGGGTATTTGAGGGGGCGAGGGGAAATTGTAGCAGATCGTGCAATTGCATTCGCTGTTCGATAATAATTTATGCAACTTGTCGCCGCTGCACTGAGCAAATATTTAAACTCGGCTTGTTCGCAGTGTTTGCCTTGCTTTGTGCTTTTCGCCTTTGTTTGTTTGTTTGTTTGCTTTGATTGCTGTTTGCCCAACTTTGCGAAAGGTGTTGAATGCCGGCCGCGCCAATTGGATCGTCCCACATGGTTTCCAAACTATGGTTTACGTATAAACCAGAGCACAAGCCCCCCACGGAATGTCTAATGGGCACTCGCCCGTCTGGCCGGCTAATTAGAAACGCTGATTGTCTCCGGGTCGGGACAAGAAAGCTGTGGGGAAGGTGAGTGGGAAATGGAAAACAGATCCACCGGGAAATGTTCACACAGCTTGCACTAATCGGTCTTCGAATGTGGGTACCCTCGAAATTGCACGAGATTATCGGGAAACATAATATTGAATACACATTCCTCAGGGTTTATTTCCCTTCCTATGCTACACAATTATTTGAAAACTGCTATAAAATCTTGTTTGATAAACAACACCTAGAGTTAAAATTCAAATGTGACATTCTAACTCAAATGCATATACATAATGGTTCTTAGCAACATTTTTCTTGGCTCAGCTGCGTCTATATATTCATTTCATTAAAGTAAGCACACCTTCTATTCTAAAAGCGAAGATAGCCGAAAAATCTGAGGGTATTGCCGGCATAAAGACGCCTCCACAAAATAGACTTTCTGTGTCACTGCGATGGGGCTCATTAAAAACGATTGAAACTTCCGCAATTCGATGGCCCAACTAGAACTGATTTCAGAAACAGAAACAGAACCAGAATCAGAATCGTTATCCATATCGCAATCAACGAGAATCGGAATAGCATGCCCCGGAAAGTGTGTTTGTGGAACGCCATACGTATACGAGTGCTTCAGTTGTGTGCAGTTACTCATTTTCGTCTTTTTTCGATGGCGGGTGATACAAAAAGCCCGATAAACAAAAGTCCCGAAAAATGAAATTCACAAAACAAGAGAGAGATGACTAAAATATCGAGCCCCTGTCCCCTAGGATTTGCATACAAAGTCCTCAAGTCGCGATAAACAACATAAATATAAATTATAAATTGCTTACGCATACTGAAGCATGGGAATTATTTTGTTTCACAGATATAGTGATATGCTAATGCCGAAAGTCTTGATACGGTTTTATTTGTGTGGCCACTAATAAGCAAGTGTTTGCAAATTGATTTTAATTAATCGGTTTATAAGAGGTTAGAGATCGTTGTAAAGAATAAGGAAAAAAAGAGATAATAAAAATATAAGTAATAAATTATGTCACCCTCACAGTACTATAATTAACTTCTTTAGAACGAACAAATTATAATCCGAAGATAAACAGGCCGAACTGGAAGTGTCTGTTTTCGGCCCATTGAAGTAAATTTACTGCATTGAGTATGAAGCACCACGAAATGAAACAAAACCAGACACAATTGCGACAAAATAAAAACAAACAAACAAAAACCAGCCATAACAATAAATCAGAGACGACAAAACACCCAACGATTCACAGACTCGCAGCGAAAAGTGATCTTTTTTAAACAGAATAAACTGCAGATAGCGCTAAATTTAGGGGCTTAGGTGAAATGGAGCTTACGTAAGCAATTGCCGCTGCCACCGCCAGAGGTCGCCACTGAAATTGATCCCATGGGGGTGTTCCTGCCATAAATCTTTTGTGCGGAATTGCGGGAAATTAATTTGAAAATTGCAAGTGCAAGGTCATCCGAAAGAGGTGTGTGGGGCCATCAATCTGTTATATATATATACTATGTATATATGTGATTGTTCAGTAACTGCAATCTGGGGGAAACTAATACCAGGTTTGACTAGGAAACTCGGGATTAATTCAGCCTGTAACAAAGCCAAATGTAGGTGTCGTTACGATATTATATTTATGTCTTTTTGTTATCAGCGAGCATAAAAAAGTTTTTAGATATCCCAGGCATACATATTTTACCTCAGGAGTGTACTAATCTAGTGATAAATGCAATTTTATGCCCAGAACTATGACATTTCTGTCGCCGAGAGTTCCTTGAACCCGTTTCCATTTTAATTCACATTCCGATTTCGCTTTCTCCGGCTCCATGTCGTAATATTTATTTACGTATTTATTGGGGCCAATTGCAGCGTTTAACTCAATTTGATATGCTAATTCGCTCAACATCTTTACGGCCTCCGTTGCCACACTTTCCATGTAAATTGATCGCGATACACGTTGATGTAGTGGAGCACTTTAGTACGACAATTTAAAGTCAGTCAGTGTGATTATGCGTAAGCAAAAGCAGGATTATTACGATGCCATAAAAATGGGGAATTAGTAACAAGCGAGTCATTTACTATGATAAATATTTATATCCCTTGCCATATTTTGTGGAAGTACGTGTCTTTAATAGCGTAAAAATAGAAACATAAACAAATAATATGAGTTTCACCGATTTGGCACGTGCGTAAACCCGATAAGGGGAATTTTTATAAACAGGATATTGTGAAACTGCTGTTCGACTTTCAGAGAAAACTTTTAGTCACTTGTTTTAATAGTTTTTTCAATTTTGTCTGAGTCCTAAAATATATCGCCCTTCTAGGAAAGTTCCTGGAAAAAAGATGTGTGAAAAAATTAGAAAAGTTAGGCAAATCATAAGGTCAAAGACCACTGAAACCCAGGTCGCGAGGTTCGCTCAAAAGTTTGCCAGAGGTAAACACGATTAGGGAGAA